ACCTTGCGCAAAAGTGCACAAACACCTGATCATGATGATAGCACCATGCTATGCCAAGACCAAAACTGAATTTCGTCCGAAATTCTTGGGACCCGCATATTAGTATGGGGCCATAATTTAGTACCATAAAATCTAGAAAAAACCCCTCGGCTATATGCTGGATTTCATGGTATCTTTATGTAATACGAAAGCTGTCGGTCCTGGGCCCAGTTGGTCTGGATTTCACATCACATTTTCGTGGCACCAAAACATTCGTCCCACTGACACCATCACTGCTTGAGCTCTTGCCATTCATGCGTTTGCCATCTGTGACAAAGCCTAAGCAGCAACTGGGGATGTGTCATGGGCTCATGTCATTGTGCTTGAGTAGATTGCTCAAATATTTTGTTCTAGTCCTCTGGTAATATACAGTTAAACCTGCTTATAACGAACCTCCATTTAACGAATTCCTTCATATAACAAAGTTTTTAAAAGCCCCACTGTTGCTCGATAGAAGCACATGAATTTGCAACCTCTGTGTAACAAAGTAACAGCGGGAGACAACCTTGATATAACAAATTTTCCCCACAGACAATCTAGGTATTTTGCTCTGCATTTTGGCATTTTGGTATGAGCACGCATCTTTCGCGGCTGCCCCGCCGTCGAAGCGGCAACGGCGCGCATGACGCACCAGGTGAGAGCGAGTGCTCGTTATTGCGCGCGTGTGTGCGCGAGGCGGGCAGGCGGGCGAGGCGGGCAGGCGGGCCTGCACCTTACGAGCCGGCGTTGCCGCCGTTCTCGCCGCCGTGGGCGCATGCATGGGAATGCCTCCCCCCAACTCCAAACCAAGAAAAAAAGAAGAAAACTACTTTTGCGCATTGGCAGTGCCAGACTATTAGTTAGCGTGACATATGTCGGTCCACGTTGCCTATGGAGGGCGCTTTACTGAATATAGCTGAATTTTCTTTTTGCTCTGCCACCCACCCCCCATCGTCATTCACCGTATATATATATATATATATATATATATATATATATATATATATATATATATATATATATATATATATATATATATATATATATTAGGGAAAGAAGTGTATACATAAGGGCTCGTTTTTCTGTGTTTTACACAATATTACACAATAAGAGTATTAAGAATTAAGGTAGAGCATCGAATGTGTCATTCGAAGGTCGCAGGTTCGGATCCTGCCCACGGCAAGTTATCTCTTCACCCACTTTTCTTCATATTTACATTACATTTCGGTCTAATATATTCCCCTATACTTTCCTTGGCATTATAGTGTGTTAGATCTCATTAATATTGTGTAAAACACACAAAAACAAGCCGTTAAGTATACACTGCATTCCTTAATTCATTAACGAGGGTTTCGTACTGGCAGACTTAGTGCCTTTAGGTTGTATACAAGGGACTATTGGTCAGCTGCCCACTCGTAATAAGTTCACATGCTACGTGCCGCCAAATAGGCTCAAAAAGAGTGTGCTACACTCGCCGCCATGGCTACTGGTGGGGCTGACTGACACTCCCACGTTTAATTCACATATAAACCCTTCAAGGTGGCTGGGGGGATGGCTGTCGTGGTAGCTCAGTGGTAGATCATCGAACGCGTCATTCGAAGGTCGCGGGTTTGGATTCTGCCCATGGCAGTTTTCTTTTCACCCACTTTTCATCATATTTACATTGCAATTTAGTCTAATATCTTCCCCTATACATTTCTTGGCATTATTGTCTGTTAGATCTCATATATATATGTGTGTGTGTGTGTGTGCGCGTGTGCGTGTGTGTGTGTGTGTGTGTGTGTGTGTGTGTGTGTGTGTGTGAATGAAAATTTAAGAAAGAAAAACAAGAAGCCGCCTGCTCTCGACGCCCTGCAGCTCGTCACTATGCGCCGACGCCAGCTTATCTCCCACGTGTACTTTGCCCTGCAAGTTAAGAGGGGGGGCTAGATGCTTTGGTGGATCCTTCGGTGGGAAAAATTGTGCGCTTTTGACTTCGACTGGAACAATTGCGTTTAGTTGGCCGGGCACAGAAAGATCTCTTCGCTTGCTGGGCAGGCGCCGTAGAGTGCGCTTTTCAAACACTGCACAGTAACAACTGGGGCACTTGTTAGTTCGCACTCATATCTGCACCTGTCATTAGGTTTCGTGCCTTGTTTTTGTTTAAATAGCGCGTTAAGTGTTGTTAAGCAGTAAACGTTCTTAGTTCATTCTCATTCTGTGTATGTTGTTTTCGTGAGTCATTTGTGCATGAGCAGCACACGGCATGTTTCGATCTGCTTGCCGTTCTCAGCGTTACATCTTAAGTTGGTGTCATTGCATTCAATGCTTCACCCTTGCGGCAAAACTGTGGCCTTTTTTAATTTCGGACAACTGTGAAATCCTCACTACCACGGGGATGTCAGATTGGGAGCTGATGGAAACTCTCCGAAAGCACGGTAACGACGGATCTTCGGAGGTCGACTCGTTATGTGCTTTCACTTTTCATCGCGCCATGAGTTCACAGGCTGGTAGCTTTCGCGATTAGCCAATTAGTTCTGGCAACATGACGGTGCATTGAATGCAATCCTATGAACGCGATATCAAAAAATTTTAATGTTATAAGAAGCTGGCAGCCAATTCTTTTGGATCCGATATCGTGGAACTGGTACAAAATGCTGGTGTGAGCAAATACGGCCGCTCCAGGGAGAAGTGCTCGTTCAAGACGTCTGATTTAATTTCTGTTTGAGCATTTGAGGGTAGTTCTAACACGCGGAAGATCTTATCTTATGCAGTTTTTAGGCGATATGGGACGGGCTGACACTTATGATCTCTGCTTCAGCAGCGCTCGTGCGCTTTTGCCCGCTCGTGAAAGTTACGATGCGCGGGGGCATGTCATCAATTTTTACTTGTTACGGAATATGGTGGCGACAGCAGAAAAACCCGCAGATTGTGTCCATATAATTGCTATCGCAATAATTAACGCTGTTTTTTTACTGTAAAATAAGTGTTTTGGGTTAGCTCTGCCTTCACACCCTTTTTTGTTTATTTTGTGCATTCATTTTTGGAATTTTCAAATTGAACGTGCATATAACAAAATCTTCTTTATAATGAAGTGTCCCAGGAGTTTATCAATTTCGTTATATCCAGGTTTAACTGTACTGCCAATTCAGCTGCTGTTAGCTTAAGTTGAAGTTGAATTGACTGACAAAAATCTGGTTGGAAGGAATTGATTAAGTGGTGCTCCTAAAACTCACATGATCTTTATTTTATTTGGTCTTGCTCACATGCTTGAGGGTTGTGATGCAGAGCTTCCAAAAGAATGAAATTAGTTGCAAGTGTGCATTTGTCTATACAGTAGAATCTTGATGATACGAATTCGAAGGCTGCATGCAAAATTTCGTTTCATCCCGAATTCATATGAACCAAAAACAAGTTGAAGCTGATCATGAAAATGAAAAAGAACTTGATTGGAGTCAACTACTTCTTGCTGAAAAAAGTCCATGATGGTCTTTGGAACTTTCCAGCTTTCACTGCCTCTCAATAAGGTACTGCAGTTTTCTCACTCATGCTGCTGGCGCCAGGAGGCGCGTTCACACTTGGCATTAAAGGAAGCGAAAGCAGCAAAATTAATTGAAAATTTACTCGCTTGGCCACTAAGCGGCCTGTAAAACATGCTGGGATGTTGACACGAAGAAAATCAGTCTTGGAGAATTTAAGTGAAAACGCCAGAGCGACCGCAAAATTACGTTCATGCTTGTCGAAAATATTCACATTCGTTCTGCCCCCTGTATACGTGCCACCGCCGCTATCGCCATCGTTGCCGCTCGAAAATTTTTTCCTGAGAATTAAATTAAAATCCGTACCGAGTTTTATATATGCATGCAAAGCACCGAAAAGGAACAGTTCACACCTTTACAAACATTGTTTCAGGAGATACGTCAAAAGAAACAAAACAAGCGAACGCAGCTCTGGCAACGGCGGCGACAAATTCAGCCAGCAGGGCAAACGAGAGACATGTTAGGGCATACTGACTCGCTGTTGCAGCACCTTTTTCTACTTCCGGTGTTCTCAGCGATCATAGTTCAAACCACGCTTTCGGGGAACGCGTCTTTTTCAAGGCCTTGAGCTTTGTCGTGCTGCCCGAGTAGCTCGTGATTTCACCAACGCGAGCCATGGCTGACGCCATTGCCACCAGGTTGAATGTATAGCTGGTTGTTTACATCACGTGGCTGGAGAGCTGGTGCAGCTGGTGTTGCCAAAGCCATAGCAGAAAGGCGATTCGCTGTCACGTGGTGGCAAAATTGGTCTCGGACCAATGTCTTCACAGCAGTCTCGCGGCATGGTTTTCCGGCCACTTTTCTGGCAGCAAAGCAATGGAAATTCCAGTGAGTTTTGCCACATTTGCTCGCTTTGAGGCCAAGTGTGAAGGGGCCTTCGTCCCACAGACAAGCTGCGTTGCGCTGCTCACATGCAGCGGTCAATCGCGCGTTCGTATTATTCGTGGTTGCTAGGCTAACCGTTCCTATAAGACTGAATCACGGCATATTTTATCTAATGTAGCCCCTAAACCTTAAAGTTCGTATTATCGCAAAATTAGCATAAACCATAATTTAGATTCTACTGTATCTCGTGCTCTTCAACCCTGTCTGAATATTTGTGCTAGTCAATTCAACGCAGTCATGCACCGATTAGCCCGACAGCATACGCTACTAAGGTGATGTTAACATTGGTGCTAGTAGCTTTTACTGCATCTGATTTCATTGCAAAGCTGCATTACATGTGGCCAGCCTGAACTGGGTACTGTCATTTCTACTTCTTTTACTCAGAAGTAAAAAGAGGTTGTAAGGTTCTCACTCGACACTCATTGACAGAATGAGTATAGGAATTTGTTTTGAGTTGAATTGCTGTTTAGATACCTTAGGCCGAGCGCTTTGGAGATCATGGCTGTTCAGTTGGTCATGAAGTTATTGTGGGACACTCTTGACGAAAGCTATGCACTTGAAGGATGTGTCACATTGCAGCTGAAGATTGCCAGCAGCTGGAAGACGACATTTTAAGCCGACAGACAGGCTTGGCTGATGCATGGCTGCGGCTTGAGAGCCTTCGGGACTTGCACCAGTGGCAGCCATACCGACCCGAGCTCTCCTCCGAGGAAGTGACATCGGAAGACCCCGAACGCATGGTGCTCTTCGAAGATGTGGCACCCGCTTTGTTCCGGCTGCGGCAGCCAGCTGCAATGGTGCAGCTGTTCCAGGCCTGGTGCTCTCTCCTACTCGGGATGGACCTGCATGTGAGTGCTTTCCTCTACAGAAACACAGCACACTGAACCAACAGAAGAGCTTTGTCTGCCTGGCATTTGGAAAAAGTAGAGGCAAGATATACAGTATAACCTCATTATAACAGACCTTCACAGTGAAAAGGATTTTGGTCTGTTGTAAAAGGAGTATGTAAATTCCAAGTACTGTTACAACAGAATTTTATGGAATAATTGAATGGGTCTGTTATAAATAGAGAGAATCACGAATGCGAACTTGTTTTCAATGGGCCATAAAAGAATTGATTTTTTGGAAACCACATCTTCTGTGTCGGAAGCCTTTTTTCTATCTGAGTTCGAAATATCTTCATTGAGGACTATGTAGAAGGGCTGTAAAAAGTTTTTTGCACCTGCTGAGATGGTGAAAATTGTTGTGGAAGTCACACACACACAAAGAAAAACGGCATTTAAAAAAAAAAAATTATATCTTCACGGCGGCGCAACTGCCCACCACCATTTTGGGCTCATTGTAAAAGTACACTCATACCTCGATATAGCGAATTTGGATATAACTAAATATTGGTTATAACGAAATAAATGGAAAATAGTCTCGCAAATAGATTTAGTGTTAAGGATGAACCTTTATAACGAATTTTTGGATATAACGAACCTATTTTCACATAAGAAGCAAGTTTTTGATAAGGAGGTTCGAGTGTATTTCGTAAAGAACATTCTGTGTTCACAAGGCGGTTGTTTGAAATTCATTTCGAGGCCTCTGATTGGCTGCTTCTGCCATGTTTCTCACAGTACGCCTCGCTAGTCTGATGCTCATTTCAGATATGCCTCTGGGATAGTGTTGCTGCTTCATATGCGTTTCGAGGTCGCGGCTGTCGAAAATCACGCTATTTAGTGACATTTTCCCACTCGTTCTGTGTTCACGGGTTGTTAAGGCATCTGCAAGTAGAACTTCAGTCCTCAGATTACAATCGCACACCGTAATTGTCGTGAACGCGGCACACGCGCGTCTTGAACCGATTGTCATAGCTTTGACTCGTTGGCGGGAGGGTTCTGCTTATCAGCGCTTTGGACTTTGTGACGAAGACCACTGCGAGACAGATCCTTTTACTCGCGTTCGAGCATGTTGTACTTCGAAACATTGAGCGCCGCGCCCATGCACATCGCAGCCATGCTTTTTGCTCGACGTCGTTCCTAGGCCTAACTCTGCCCTGAATGTGACGGGTAAGACCGTCGCGCTAGCGGATATGTGAAAGCAAAGCAGCCGTAATGTGCTGAGTTGCAAGCAATGAATCATATCGGCTGCTGGCACCTTATAATCGGGAATAGGTACCCTGTGCATCGGTGGGGGACCCGGCCATGCTCGCCACACGCCTACCGTTCGAAACAGCGGCCAGTAATTTCGTGCGTCAGCGCCCCAACACGCAAAATCAAGCACGTTGAGTGCCGATTTTTTATCGCCGTACCTAGGCATAACTAAATATTAACAGACCGGAGATGGGCGGCCTTTGTTCCTAAATCGGTACGTCAATATATGCAGCGCTGTTTACTTCCTGAAAGTATGCCAAGCGATGTTTGAAGTCAGAAGTTATTTAATTTGGGATGTCCGCGGTAGAAAGGTCCGCTGTAAAGGAGTCCTGACCACGTTACTGGCCTGACATTTTAGTCAATTATATCCGAACGTCCGTTGTACCAGAATTTGTAGTAAACGAAGCTCAATCAATGGAGCAAATAGGGAGGTCAGCATAATGCTGCAAATTAGTATGCAGTATCTGAATGTTGGTTGTAAGCAGATCTGTTGCAACGAGATTATACTGTAATTGCTTTAAGTAGGGGCAAACAACTTGTCACCATGTTTTCTTTCATCATCTTCTGCTGTGTGCATGTCTGCTTAGTGGAAATTATTCTCTGGCTGGAATAAGCAACCAATCTGTGCTCTCTTTGTACAGGGCTGACTCGCAACTTTTGTGTTGTGTTTCTTTTTCTCAGTCATTTCCTTCTGTGTGCTGTGATTTTTCAGAAGTGTCCTGGAAAAAAAAGCTGTCCAACTTTTAGTGTTGCTATAACATTAGAGTTGCAGTACGTCCTTCGACACTGACTTTGAATGCAACGTTATTGCTGTGTTCAGCCATATTATGTGATGTATGGTAGAATTCAATTAAACCGAGGAATTCAAGACTGTCATGGCCGAGCAAAAGATACTAAATTCATGTGATTACATCCCAAGCTAAGGTGAACGCTTTAGAAGTGCGGCATGTTTGGTGTTAATGTCAGGATCACTGCCACTGTTGGCACCCTACATAATATTGTCACGGGTATAGGAAGGTACCTCAGGCACAGGCACCGAAATGACACAAAATAAATGAAGACGGCGATGTTGTGGGGCGGTGTCTGAGCGGCTCTGTTGTCCTGTAATCCTGTGCGCTGTGTGCAGCAACGGGCATTAACTTGTGAAATACTTCCCATTACAATATGTAAGCTTGCATATGTTTGCAAAAAGTGAAGGGAATGGTTAGTTACTCGACCACTCCTCATTCACTGGCCGCCGTGAGGTTATAGTCAAAGGAGGGATGCAACAGCTGCACCAATTGTGCCAATTTGACGCAGTTCCTTATTTTTGAATCAAGATGAGCCAAAACTTTGCAATTTATGGAAATTGTAACATGTTGCATCACACTAAGCCAAAATGTCTAACTAACCTCAAAATTCTCTCACTTGCACTAATTTTAACAAGAAATAGAAGCCATATTAGCCACCTGCAGTTTGAACATAATCATCCAACCCAGTTGAGGTGCACAGCAAAAGAATAAAGCATGCTTTGTGTCAGGCACCCATAAACTATCTTTTTGAGCTGATTGCAATGCTGCTCTAGATGGATACTATTTGAAAGTCAAAAGGTTTTTTGTTAACGTTCGACACACTACACTTCGACACACTACACTTCGACACAATACACGTTCGACACAATACACTAGCGGCACCACGTGCCGCCAGTGTATTGAATGTTAACAAAGATCATTTTAGTGGAAAGATTGCCCATTTACTTTCTTGTCAAGTCTTCTGATTTGCCCAGTAAGCTCCCAAAGTTTCGAGCAACGCTTCCAGTTATGTTGGAATGGCCATAATCTCCTAACAAACAACCTTAACCCCATTGCGGGGAAAAAAGGGGGGCTCATTTCTTCTTCTAGGAATCGGTGTAAGACGAAAGTGAAACGTGTGTTCAGAGAGGTAGTTGAGTGTTTATTATGCATTGTTTTGCCTCTAGGGTGAGAGAATTAATGCTACAGCGACAAATAAAGTCATGTGAAGAATGACAAGCAGCTCTAAACTTACAGAACGCACCTCAAGCAAAAAGCACGCATGAAATGAGCATCCACAAAACGAGCGTGAACTAACAACTGTCACAGCCCCACACTTAAAGCGCGCTGCTTAAACACAAGGACACAGGAAAGGAATGCACCAGTGTAAACAGGACAAGCGCAAGCAACTGCCATAACTCTTACTTCTTCATGTGTGAGCAGCACACTCCTTTCGTGAATGTGGCATTGAGAAAAGTGATTTTCATGCTCTCTTTAACCACTGTAACTTCAAAGAAACTTGCAGTGGAAGCACAAGTGGTATAAAGCATCCAAATCACGAGATAAGCACACGAGTGGCAGCGTCCTTGGAGGCGCAGGCGCATTGCGATGCGCGGCAGGCCTATCGTGCCATCTTGCTACTGATGACGAACACGCATTGAAGTTGCTGAGCTCTGAGGACCACCAATGATATATGGTGTACATTGATAGCTCGCCATTAGCTAGCTGAAGACACAACATACATGCCGTGGCCTAGTGGTTTCGTGTTGTGCTCTGCTTAACGAGAGGTCGTAGGTCCGACCCCCGATGACTGAACTTTACTTTTTCTTGTTGTTTTTATTTTTAATCTGCTAGTATATATTTTACAACCTCAAATTTATGATGGTAATGCGTCAGTGGAGTCATGGTGGGCCATGGCATAAAACACTTTCGTGTTAAAATAAAGCATAGCGTGCCTAAAATTTTCTGGCCTTTTCCTGTCACCTGCAGAATGCTTTATAAACCTCTTTCGCTATGTACACTGGCACCTTGTGGAAATGCTGAGATTTAAAAGGGGCTCATGTTATTAGCTGTTATGGGACACTGCACATTGTGTTTCTCAATTACTCATGCGTGCACATGTCTTACAATTACAAGTGTGTAGTACCAGTATGATCACTGCCATCTAAAAAAGTTACTGATAATCATTAAAAACTGTGTACAAAATTCATGACCCTCCTTCACTCTGTGAAATATTTTCTAAGTGAAGAGCTGCTGTGAAATTGGAATTTCTACTGGATGTGTTTTTCACTGTTTTAGTGTTTCTGTACTAGCCACACCCACTGAGAGTGAACTCCTTGGCACTGCAGAATAGCCAGACTGGCTTCAGCCTTGCAGAAGCTGACTGCTTTGAGCGGCTGCCAGGTATTAACCTGAAAATGGCAACACACTTCAGTCAAGTACTGAGCTTCCCATCGGGCTGGGAAGTACGGCAAGGCGTCGCTGACTTTGTCCATGAAGTTCTGAGTCAAGCCAAGCCACACTTTGTGGATCCCACCCTTTGTGATGAGCTAGCACGGTTGGCACTCCAGTTGGCACGTTTGGCCACAACGTGGGATTCCCACAAGGTGTGTACTATATGCTCCACCACTAGCTTTACATTGTGAAATGATGCATGAGCCTATGGCTGTTCTTAATGCTTAACATTTAAGTGCGATTTCTGTGCACAAGCTGATTTCTCTGAGCAGTGAACAGGGCTGGCACTAACCCGATGAGCTCGTTCCTTTTATTATTATCAATAATTTTATTTCTGCTTTGAGGAATAAAATGGCAGGGAAGCTTCCATTGACAGCTCCATCAATCTGCTGCTTTTATATACAAGGCGTCAGCTACAGGTAATCAAAAGCTATTGATCATACACACGACAGTGTCATGTCTTAAATAAAAATAGTATCAGGCTATCATTGTTTTTTTTTTTCATATGGCTGCACAGAATCAATGTACATGAACAAAAAAAAATAGAAAAGACAGGCTCACTCCTAGATTAAAAGAAAAGTTTACTGCCTGAAATGGAAAACATTAGTGTAGCACATATGCATGCACGTATGCAAACGTTCACTTTGATCAGGGTGTGTTACCAGACTCCTCTAGCAGATGCAATTCACTTGAGAGCACAGTAGTTGTCAGGCAGCTGGTTGACACACATGTTGCCATTTTAAGCTTTTTATTATGCCAGGTAGTGTGAACTATTATAAACTGGTACCACGCGTTTGCTTCATCACTTTGTGCTTGTGATTCTCTTCCATAGCACGTGTGCTGATTCGTCTAGCATAGAATAAAAAAGCTTTTATTGAAACTAAAATCACACAACATCACTTAGCTACTAGTCACAGCTCTGACATCACTTAACTAGTCACGGGACTTAAAATTCCGTAATAACTAGTCACATGACTAAAATAACATTATGTCCCACAACATCTGGTCGTATGACTAAAACCACACAAACTGGTGTAATAGCTAGTCACGTGAGATGTTCCTGCAAAAAACCACGTAACATCTAGTCACGTCACTAAAATCTCAACACTATGTAACAGGTGGTCACCTTGCATATGTCTAGCCACTTTAGTATAACCAAGTTTAGCCATACTAGCAGAAACCTAACATCTCTTGCAAAAGCTTGGCGTTACTAGCAACACTAGCTATTTCGAACCCTAGGTCCACTGTTGGTTCCAGCATTGCACCACTAGTACAATATGCGCACATTTTTTCTTTAAGATTAGGAATGCTTCCAACCTCTTTCATTATTGTTTCATGCTTCTAGAGTTCTTTGATGAAACAGCTGTGTTCATGGTAATGCACTATGATTTAAAGGTGAACACTTGTCAGAAATCTGTCTGGGCAATTGGCTGCAACAACACAAGAATGATGTCTGCAGGCCGAACTGACAGTGAGTGCACTAGCTGAGCACAGCGAGGTGAATGACCACTGCATTGCTTTGACAACTGTTGCATATGCTGCTTAGAGGCCAGTTACCATATAGATGGCTATTTGTAAAATATCGGCGCATCCAGGTGACATCTGGTAATGTCAACTCGCCAGCAGGTGTGCTGTCAAGTGTCTATTTCAATAAATTTTGGCATGTCACTGAGAGCAAATGTGGCCCCTGCTTCAACAAGAGGAACTAATGCGATGTAAGCACTGATTTCTCGTGCATCGCAGTCACCCCTGAACAAGGGTGCAAGCAAGTGGACCTGGAATGTCAAGTTATTTGTTTTTGCAAAGTAAAACAGGTTTTTACTTTTTACAAATACCTTGATTGGTGTCACTTTTTCACTAATTATAGACAGTTTCACCCAGTGCCTTTTTGTTCTCTGGCAACAGTGTAATTTTACTGGAAGTGCACCCTAGAAAACTTTCTGTTGACCTTGTTTTAGTGTGTTTTAGGCTGCATTGTTGGCCGTAGCTGCTTCTGTTTCAATGTTTTCTGCAGACAGAATTATTACAATGAAGCACTCACAACTCGGGCCTTGCTCTGAACTGCCAGGATGCAGTCTGCATTTTGTAGCTAATTGGCTCTCCCAAGTCAAAACGCTCTGTATGTGAGAGATGATGGTAGAGTGCCTAGAACGCAGGGATTGGGCGAGAAAACTTTATCAAAGGCAATTAAAGTTCAATGCATACTCTAATAGTACAGAGGCAATGCTGAGACAGTAGTCAGTCGAAGGTCCCCATTCATAAGGACCACGTCAGACACCGTCATATGCCACCCGTGGCAGATAAGTGCTCTGACACCAGAAATAGATAGCAAAGCGTGAAAGATGATGAACACCGAAAATCCATGGTAAACGTGTTTCTTGTAGTTAGTAAATGAGCAGTGATACCTACTGTTCAAAGCAAATGCAGGACACCAAGACAACCACAGCTCAACAAGAATCTTCGTACAATAAACGTTGTGGTGTCCATGTTTTGTTGCTGTTGCATTTGCTTTCTATGATAGCGATGGCTGTAAATGGGTTCGCATCAGTGCGAGGAAGGGACTCATTGCGTGTCTTGTTGCCGCCAATCAACTTCGTCACAGTCTGGCTAATTTATCTCTCAGTGTGAGTGTGGACACCATTCGCATAGTGTACTCATTAGTAAACCATAATAGTTTGTGTTCAGTCACACTGAACACTTCAAATTGTGAACAATTTCAGTTGGTGCCAACATCTATCAAGAGTACCCGATGTATGTGGCACAGACGCATTAATAAACGTTTTTTTCGTGAAGTTGAATGCCTAGACAGATATACACAAATACATAGGACAATCGGCAGTTGCGAAAGGAGGCAGGTTTTCAGCTCCTGTCTAAAAGCTCGATTGCACAGCTTTCTTATCCAGCGGATCAGGCAACTCTTTTCCTCGCCACTGCTGTTCTTGCTTGTACTTTTCTTGTGCGACATCATCGCTCTAAACAAACCTGAACAAATGTGTCAGAAATAATAGAGAAACAAACTCGAGCATACCAGGTGAATACCGCTGGGACCGTTGAAAAATATATTAGAGGAAATGACGTTTTGGAAGTCTCCTTGGCCAGACTGTCCGGCGCGTACCAGTTTGTTTACAAACAGTGAAACTGTCTAGAAAAGCTGAGACTGACAGGATTGCTGTTTCAAATACAGGGACAAAGCGAGGTACACAGAATAAAAACTGGGAGCACCTTAGCTTTTTGAAAAGTGTTGCATATACATCATCGTCATCATCATCAGCCTGACTAAGTCCATTGTAGGACAAAGGCTTCTCCAATTTTTCACCAGTCAACTCATTCCTGTGCTTTCTGCTGCCATTTTATACCCGCAGACTTCTTAATCTCATCTACCCACCTAACTTTATGTTTTACCCTAACTTGCTTGCCTTCTCTTGGAATTCAGTCAATTACCTTTAATGAACAGCGGTTATCTTGCCTACACGCTACATGCCCGGCCTATGTCCATTTCTTCTTCACGATTTCAGCTATGATAGCCTTAACCCCGGTTGATAGCCTTAACCCCGCTTGGTTCCCTGATCCTCTCTGCTGTCTTCTTGTCTCTTAAGGTTACACCTATCATTTTCCTTTCCATTGCTCACTGCGTCGTCCTCAATTTAAGCTTAACCCTCTTTGTAAGTCTCCAGGTTTCTGCTCCGTAGCTAAGTACCGGCGAGATGCAGCTTTTGTATACATTCCTCTTGAGGGATAGGGGCAATCTACCAGTCATGATTTGAGAGTGCTTGAGGAATGTGCTCCACCTCTTTTTTATTCTCCTAGATACTTTAACTTAAGTTCGGCTCTGCGGTTATTACCTGTCCTCAGTAAATGTAGTCTTTTACAACTTCAAGTGCACTATTACCTATCTCGAAGCGCTGTTCTCTTCCGAGGTTAATGTACATTACTTTCGTTTTCTGCAGATTAATTTTAAGACCTACCTTTCTGCTCTCCTTGTCTGACTCCGTAATTATGAGTTGCAATTCATCCCCTGATTTACTCAGCAATGCAATGTCATCGGCAAAGTGCAGGTTACTAAGGTACTCTTCATTACCTCTAATCCCTAACTCTTTTAATTCTAGGCCTCGGGAAACCTCCTGTAAGCACGTGGTGAATAGCATTGCTGAAATTGTATCCCCTTGCCTCACACCCTTCTTGATTGGTATTCTGTCGCTTTCTTTAGGGAGTACTATGGTGGCAGTTGATCCCCTGTAGATTTCTTCCGGGATGTTTATATATGCTTCGTCGACGCCTCGATTTCACAGTGTCTGCATGACTGCTGATATTTCTACTGAATCAAATGCCTTCTCGTAATCAATATAGTATAGTGGTTGGCTCTATTCTGAGCATTTCTTTATTACCTGATTGATAGTATTTTGAGGAAGAAGATAGACACATGCATAAGCGCATTGCCATCGCCTGGCTCGCTTGGCTGTTCGCTCCCTGGCTACACCTTGCCTGCTGTTGCTGCTATCCTCCCGGTCGCGGTGTATCTTATAAAACCCCCATAACAAGTAGTGCAGCAGCTGGGTAGCAACACCTTGGAACTTTGCAACCAGAAACTTAAGCCAGCCTCTGTAATGCCGGAGGAAGTACCAAATCAACTGCAGTAACAACCTGCTGTCCTTGTGCCTACATTAGTGTGCCCTCGCCCATCCCGTCAACGCGACCCACCAATCTTCAGCAGCACAGAAGATGATGCAATCTTCAGCAGCCCAATGATGCAAGGGGCGCCATCCCGTCTGGCGAGTCTTACACAATGCGTGGCAACATTACCTGTCCTCGGGTGTAATCTAGCACACCGGCTTCGGATTTGAGGATTCTGACACGACCCTGCGGCAGTTCTGATTGGACATTGATGACATAAAGGGTCACCTGAGGCCTATAAGGAATCACGCGGCACTTCGCCAAGCAGCCGACGTTTGCGTCGGAGAGAAAACATCTCGGCTCTTCGAGCCCTTGCGCTGTCGGCCCGGCCTGTGACCTTGGCACCGGCATGTTTTGTGACAGCGATGCCCTGCGCAACCGTGGCGTCGGAGTTTCGTAACAGTGGATGGCAGCTACAGGATCATCCGGCGTCAGCGACATCGATGCGGTGAGTGCCTGATGTTTTCCCTTGAGTTCACCA